TTTCATGATCAGAACACTTAAGAAATAGGCATAGAAGGGACATTTCTTAAGCTAATAGAGGCCGTCTACAGCAAACCCACATCCAATATCATACTGAATGGTGTAAAATTGAAAACATTTCCACTCAGATCAGGAATAAGGCAAGGATGCCCACTGTCTCACTGCTATTCAACCTAGTAATGGAAGTCTTAGCCATCGCAATCAGGCAAGAGAAGGTGATCGAGGGTATCCAAATAGGGTCAGAGGAGATCAAAGTCTAACTTTTTGCTGATGCTATGATCCTATACCTGGAGAATCCCAGGGATTCAACTTCTAAACTCTTAGAAGTGATCTAGGAATACAGCAGCATCTCAGGATACAAAATCAATACTTACAAGTCAGTAGCGTTTACATATGCCAAAAATAGTCAAGCTGAAAATATAGTCAAGGACTCTATTCCTTTTACAGTAGTGCCAAAGAAGATAAAATATCTGGGAGTTTACCTAACAAAGGGCGTGAAATATCTCTATAAAGAGAACTATGAAACTCTGAGAAAAGAAATAGCTGAAGATGTTAACAAATGGAAAAACATACCATGCTCATGGCTGGGAAGAATCAACATTGTTAAAATGTCCATACTACCCAAAGCAATCTACAGATTTAACGCAATCCCCATTAAAATACCATTGTCATACTTTAAAGAACTTGAAAAAATAGTACTTTGTTTTATATAGAATCAGAAAAAAACCTCGAATAGCAAATACATTACTCAGAAATAAGAACAAATCAGGAAGTATCACATTACCAGACTTCAGTCTATACTATAAATCTATAGTGATCAAAACAGCATGGTACTGGCACAAAAACAGAGAGGTAGATTTATGCAACAGAATAGAGAACCAAGAGATGAACCCAGCTACTTATCATCATTTGATCTTCAACAAGCCTATTAAAAATATTGAGTGGGGGAAAGACTCCCTATTTAACAAATGGTGCTGGGTGAACTGGCTGGCGACCTGTAGAAGACTGAAACTGGACCCCCACCTTTCACCATTAACAGAAATTGATTCTCACTGGATAAAAGTTTTAAACTTAAAACTCATGTATAAAACTCTAGTTTATAGAGTCTCATGTATAAGACTCTAGTATAAAATACTAGAAGAGAGTGCAGGGAAAACCCTTGAAGAAATTGGCCTGGGAGAATATTTTATAAGGAGGACCCTCCAGGCAATTGAAGCAACACCAAAAATACATTACTGGGATCTGATCAAACTAAAAAGCTTTCGCACAGCCAAGAGCACAGTAAGTAAAGCAAACAGACAACCTTCAGAATAGACGATTTTTGCAGGTTATGCTTCCGACAAAGGTCTGATAACTAGAATCTACAGAGAACTCAAACTAATCAATAAGAAAAGAACAAATAACCCCATTTCTATCTGGGCAAGAGACTTGAACAGAAACTTCTCTGATGAAGACAGTGCATGGCCTACAAACACATTAGGAAATGCTCATCATCCTTAATCATCAGAAACACACAAATCAAAACCACTTCGAGATGTCATCTAACTCTAGTAAAATCAGCCCACATCACAAAATCCTAAAACTACAAATGTTGGTGTGGATGCAGAGAGAAGGGAACACTTCTACACTGCTGGTGAGAATGCAAGCTACTACGGCCTTTTTGGAAAGAAGTTTGGAGAATACTCAAAGAACTAAAAGTAGACCTACCGTTCAAATCCTGCAATTCCTCTACTAGGTATATACCCAGATGATCAAAAATTATTTTACAACAAAGACATTTGCACCAGAATGTTTACTGCAGCCCAATTCATAATAGCCAAGACATGCAAACAGCCCAAGTACCCACTGATCCATGAATGGATTAACAAATGTGGGCTCGG